TCTCTCTCTCTCTCACACACACACACACACACACACACACACACACACACACACACACAAACAAACACTCTCTCTCTCACACACACACACTCACACACGTAAACACACACACTCGTGTGTCTGATCTGGTGTCTGTGTTGGTTCAGGGTTGCCGCTCAGATGCCGACGGTGCACTATGAGATGCCGAGTGGCTACAGCACAGATTACGGAGCCGAGAGGTTACGGATCCCCGAGGGCCTGTTCGATCCGTCCAATGTGAAGGTGAAGTCTAGATCATATCTGTTTCAGTGCATCCAGATCAGCGCTTCTCAACCAGGAGCCCAGGGCCAGGAGATGAGCTCAAATGAGAAAAACAAGCTGAAAATCAAGGCATACCTTATTTGAGTTAATTCCCTGAACAAATGTCATTTCATTTAATCAGGATTCACACAGTCTTGGAAATCTGTGATTTCTAGACCTGTCACAAAATCTTATAAAGTCATGAAAATTAATCAAATCTACAGAAGTTTTGGAAATGAATGAAATTTTGAAAAATTATGGAAATTAATCAAATCTACACAAGTTATGAAAATGAATATAGTCTGGAAAAGATATGGAAATTAATCAAATATAAATAAGTGATGGAAATACCAAAATTCTTGAAACGTTATAGAAATGAATAAAATCTGGAAATGTTAAGGACATGAATAAAATCTTGAAAAGTTATAGAGACGGAAAATCTAGAAAAGATATTAATTTAATAAAATCTTGAAAAGTTATGGAAATTGATAAAATCTAAAGAGGAAATTGAAATGAAGTCGTAAAGTTATGGAAACTAATAAAATACTGAACAGTCATGAAAATGATTAACATTTTCTGAAAAGTCATGTAAATTAATACATTTAAAACATTTTTTTAAAATCAATACAAATCTTTTGAACAAGTAATAGAAATGATTTTCAAGTTATATGAAGCTATAAAACACTTTCTATAGAGTAGAAAGTGCTGTTTGTGGGTACAAATAAATAAAATAACCCTGTGATCACAAACAACTAGATAAGTCATGCAAATTCATTGGTAATAATAGTGTAAAATACTTATAATTATTTATAATTATTTGAATATACTGCCATATAATTATTTTAATGATCTCATCTTCTCAGGGTCTGTCCGGTAACACCATGCTGGGCGTCGGACACGTGGTCACTACCAGCATCGGCATGTGTGACATCGACATCCGGCCGGTAAGAGAGAGAAAACGTTTCTGTTAGCCTATGTTGTGTACAGAATGTCAACATGCAGAGCACTGAAGCATTAGGACCACTGATGTTCTGCTCTCTCTACGAGTGTGTCATATGTGTGTGTGTGTGTGTTGAGGGTCTGTATGGCAGCGTGATTGTGACCGGAGGAAACACACTCCTGCAGGGCTTCACGGAGAGACTCAACAGAGAACTGTCTCAGAAAGCACCGCCAGTGAGTCCTGATCCCTGTCTGATCTCAGTCTGATTTCAGTCTGTTCTCTTTCTGATATCAGTCTAATCTCTGTCTGATCCCAGTCTGATCTCCTTCCAATCTCTGTCTGATTTCTATCTGATCTCAATCTGATCCCTGTCTGATCTCAGTCTAATCTCTGTCTGATCTCCTTCCAATCTATTTCTGACTTCTATCTGATCTCAATCTGATCCATGTCTGATCTCAGTCTAATCCCTGTCTCATCTTCATCTGATCTCAGTCTGATCCCCGTCTCATCTTCATCCGATCTCAGTCTAATCCCCGTCTCATCTTCATCTCTCATCTTCATCCGATCTCAGTCTGATCCCCGTCTCATCTTCATCCGATCTCAGTCTGATCCCCGTCTCATCTTCATCCGATCTCAGTCTGATCCCCGTCTCATCTTCATCCGATCTCAGTCTAATCCCTGTCTCATCTTCATCTGATCTCAGTCTGATCCCCGTCTCATCTTCATCCGATCTCAGTCTGATCCCCGTCTCATCTTCATTTGATCTCAGTCTGATCTCCTCACTCCTCACTAGCTCCTGCTGTCTGTGTTTCAGAGCATGAGACTGAAGCTGATCGCCAGCAACAGCTCCATCGAGAGGAGATTCAGCTCCTGGATCGGAGGATCAATCCTTGCATCACTGGTGAGAAACACAACAGCTGTTTTAACACATACTGCATCGCAAAACTCTATTATATTATATATTATTGAAAAATATATAACTGACCTGATGTGTTCGTCCTCAGGGAACCTTCCAGCAGATGTGGATCTCAAAGCAGGAGTATGATGAGGGAGGAAAACAGAGCGTGGAGAGAAAATGCCCCTAAGCGCGCACACACACACACACACACACACACACAGAGACACATACAAAACACACAGACCCCTCAAACACACAGACACACACACACACTCCTTAAACACAAATACACACGGTCTCTTTCTCTCCCACTGTCATATGACATGCGTTTCATGCTGAATTATGTTTCTGTACAAACTACATTTCACTGATCTGCATACAGTATTTACAGTAACTCAGAGTGTCACGTTCTCTGTCAGAAGCCCAATAAACTGAGAAATATCATCATGAGTTCAGGAAGCTTCGTTCATGTGCAACACATTAGCAGAAAACATTTGTATATTTATTCATTTTATTTAATTTAAAATTTTTAATTTTAAATGTATTTTAAAACAGTAAGGCCTGGTTTCACAGACAGGGCTTAGACTAAGCCAGGATTAGGCCATAGCTCAGTTAGGACATTGAAGTAATTTTTATTAACGTGCCTTAGAAAAAAAAAACATTACTGGTGTGCATCTCGAGACAAAACAAAGGCACCGATATATTTTAAGATCAGTCAGTGTGAGTTTCTTTCAGTTGAAACAGCTCAGAATTATTTTAGTTGGGAACTAAGCTTAAGCCTTGTCTGTGAAACCCAGGGTGAATAAATTCTCATTGTATTTAAGCTGTTAAAACACTATGAACTGCATCAAATGGTAACTTTAATATTTCTGAGCCTGCAGCACAAAAGCAGTGTTAAGTCGCTGGGGTATATTTGTAGCAATAGCCAACAATACATTGTATGGGTCAAAATTATACATTTTTCTTTTATGCCAAAAATCATTAGGATATTAAGTAAAGATCATGTTCCATGAAGATATTTTGTAAATCTCCTACCGTAAATATATCAAAACTTAATGTTTGATTAGTAATATGCATTGCTAAGAACTTCATTTGGACAACTTTAAAGATGATTTTCTCAATATTTAGATTTTTTTGCACCCTCAGATTCCAGATTTTCAAATATTGTCCTATCCTAACAAACCATACGTCAATGGAAAGCTTATTTATTCAGCTTTCAGATGTTGCATAAATCTCAATTTCTAAAAAATTGACACTTGTGACTGGTTTTGTGCTCCAGGGTCACATATAGTATTCGATATACACGAAATGATGGTTACATGGTAAATGTAAGTAACCACCCCCAGTATGATGTCTGTTATATCATATCATATATCATATATATCGCCATGGTACATGTGTAGAAACAGTTTCTCCTGCGTGAAACGTCATCGGGGACGCACAGACGTCACTCTCGGTGCTGGCCTTGACATGACGCCCGGCGCTGACGTCGCGGGAGCGCGCACGGGAGATAAGTGACGTTTAAATGCGGCATGCGCGCGAGAGGACCGGAGTCAGCGCGCGCTCTCACGGTAACAGCAGCTCACGAGGAAACGCTTCGATTCGGCTTTTTATGCTTTAATGTAAGTTTCAAGAGCAGGTAAAGTACACTATTCGAATATTAATAACATTAAAGATTTATTAAGAATTTGTTATAATTTTAAATGAGTGACAAAACCAGTCATAAGGGTAAATTTTATGATTTATGCATCATCTGAAAGCTGAATAAATAATCTTTCCATTGATGTATGGTTTGTTAGGATAGGACAATATTTGGTTGAGATACAACTATTTGAAAATCTGGAATCTGAGGGTGCAAAAAAATCTAAATATTGAGAAAATCATCTTTAAAGTTGTTCAAATGAAGTTCTTAGCAATGCATATTACTAATCAAAAATTAAGTTTTGATATATTTACAGTAGGACATTTACAAAATATCTTCATGGAACATGATCTTTACTTAATATCCTAATGATTTTTGGCATTAATGTAAAATGTATAATTTTGACCCATACAATGTATTGTTGGCTATTGCTACAAATATACCCCAGCGACTTCAGACTGCTTTTGTGCTCCAGGAACACTTATATAACCTTCACGTCGTTCCAAACCTGACTTTCTTCCTTCCATAGGATTGTCTGAATTTTTGGGTGAACTATTCCTTTAAGTTCAGTTAATACTATAGTAGGATATTAAAATAATCGACTTTGTAATAATGATTTAAACACTACTGAATGAAATCGCTGTAGTTTGACTAATGTCGTAGTATGGTGACCTGAGGGTGGTTTTGTGTCTTTGAACAGGAAGTTGATGTTATTCTGCGATCTGATTGGATGGGTCTCACACTGTGCTGCTTGCTGAAGAACGGCGGTCCTATAAAACACCATAAATCCCGATCAGCATTCTGTCCGTTTTCTGTAGCCCCGCCCATCCGCCTGGCGGTGCTTTTAGACACGCCCCCCGTCGCCCCTGGAAACCCGCGGTCGCAGTGGAGCCCCACCTACCTGTCGCCCAATCTGAAGGTGTGTCCGTCGGGTGGGCGTGTCTCTCGCGCCCGTGTGGAGCAGAGCAGTGATGCGGTCCGTGGCGTGGTCGGCACGGCGACGGGGCTCCATATATGGGAGGTGCTGTGGGAGGAGCAACAGAGAGGAAGCCACGCCCTACTGGGTGTGTCCACACACAAATGCACCCTTCAGGCCTCGGGCTACACGGCGGTAATAGGAGGAGACTCGTGTTCCTGGGGCTGGGATCTCTCGACCAATCAGCTTTGGCATGATGGGAGGGCGGGGAGGCGGTACCCTGGGGGCGGAGCCAGGGGCATCTTAAGTGTTCCAGATCGTGTGTTAGTGGTGGTGGACGCAGACGCAGGGACGCTGGGATACGTGGTGGACGACTGCTATCTGGGCGTCGCCTTCCAGGACCTCCCCAAAGGGGCGGAGCTTTTCCCTGCGGTGAGCTGCGTTTGGGGAGGAGCTCAAATCTGCATACGCTACCTGTGTGGCATGACACGTGAGTGTGACATCATCACATGTCCGACACCAATGATGTCACATCACAAAGTGATATAAAAAATAATTTGATCATATTTGAAAAATTATTACAAATAATTAAAAACAGTAAAGTAACACTAGTGTGTGAGGTTAATACTCAGTTTAACATCAAGCTTACTGAACTTAAATCCACAAGTAAAAATCATTATCATGCTTAAGTTTTTATAGTGTTTTATATCATGTGTGCTGGAAGCACAGACCAACTTTAAACATGATACCATTTTTCCGTACGTTTCGAATACTCCGTCATTAAGCTCATCACGTTTTTGAGTTTCTCAGCTTCTGAGTTTTTACAGTTATGTTTTATAATTAGAGCTCGATGGAGGACAAAAATACACAGCACACACAAAAAACAAGATATTTTTATCCACGCATTTTTCAGCGTTACATGAAATATACAGTTAGTGCTGTTAACATGAATGCATTAACACAATCGTTTGACATTCTGTGTGATTTTTGAGCATACTGTATATTTATATATAAATATCAAATCCAACACTAACTTTCCTTAAAGAGACACTAACAGAACATAAGCTAAATATTCAAACTAATGGACAGCCGTAATAAATATCTGATGCACAGTGCATTCTGGGCTAGCTTCACCAGCGCTGGTGTGTTCTGATCATCACTGACTGTGTTTCTCAGGAGACCCACCTGCTCTGGAGGCTCTGAGCCGGTTATCTGTGCGGAGGGCCCTCGGAGGGGCCGGGCCCCGGAGCCGGACGCTGTCCTTCCCGTCTGCTCTACAGCGCCTCCTGCTGGACTCACACAGCACAAACACTGCAGAGGAAGAGCAGTGACACTGCACATCACAACACAGCTTTACTGTCTTTACTTAAAGCTTTTTTTCATTTGGGTGTTTTTCTAATTTATGTTAAAATTGCAGATGTGTTCAGAGTATGTATGTGTATATATATGTGTGACCCTGGAGTACAAAAGCAGTGTTAAGTCGCTGGGGTATATTTGTAGCAATAGCCAACAATACATTGTATGGGTCAAAATTATACATTTTTCTTTTATGCCAAAAATCATTAGGATATTAAGTAAAGATCATGTTCCATGAAGATATTTTGTAAATGTCCTACCGTAAATATATCAAAACTTAATTTTTGGTTAGTAATATGCATTGCTAAGAACTTAATTTGAACAACTTTAAAGATGATTTTCTCAATATTTAGATTTTTTTGCACCCTCAGATTCCAGATTTTCAAATATTGTCCGATCCTAACAAACCATACATCAATGGAAACCTTATTTATCCAGCTTATATATATATGCATACATTTATAACTGAGGAAGTCCAGTTTTTTATTTCATATATATTTCCATTGTTAAACAAATCTTCAAAAACTTAAAAAATAATTTTGTCTTAAGAATTTAATAAATTTGTTTTATATTATTTTGCCTCTAATATAATGTATATTTTAATATATAAAATGATATATCTTTTTGCAACATTTACATTTAGTCATTTAGCAGATGCTTTTACCCAAAGCGACTTCGTTCCAAACGAGGACATTCAGTTATTTCCGTTTATCTCTGTGAAGCTGCTTTGAAATAATATGTATTGAATAAAAGCTGTATTTTAATAAATGTGACTTGACTAGAAAGTAATATGAGTTCCAGAAGAATGCTTTACTGATATAACCGTCCATCTGGAGAATCACGCCTTTCATTATGAAGAATATCATCATGCGAGGCTGAATCTCATGAATAATCAGGATAAAATAATTGCACACTGCAAAAAAAAAGACATAATGGTCTTTCTTTATGCAGCATCTGTGTTTGATGAATCAATCAATCAGTCAGTATGAATGCATGAGTGTCACCTGATCAGATCCAGCGACTGACGTCAGTTCAGGTCCTCAGCAGCATCAGACACACTCGTCTAGATCAGTCGCTCACTGAGGAGAAACCCACAGACTCACACTGCGCAGTGTATGTTCCAGCAGTGCATGTGCTGTGTAAAACACACACTCAAACGTCAAAGAAAAACACTTAAGACGCTCCTTAGACATCTGAGAGTTTATTTCAAATATAATAAAGCACATGAATAAGTGAGTAAAATGAGGTCATCTCCAGACTCTCTGAGGTCCTCCTCTGCGGCTCGCTGATCTTCTGCTCGGGACGCTTCGAGACGACACACACGCCTGAAACACACACACAAACAGTGCTTTATTATTAAAACAAAACCGTACTCAACCTGTACCACACTATAAATGAATAACAAATATTACCATTGAATGTTCTATAGTGATCATTAAATTTAGTTCATAGTTCATTAACTAATGTTAACACATTAATATATTAGCAGAAGTTGACTAAACTAAACTCTTTTTTGAGTCACTTGTCGCCACCTGCTGGCGTTACGTTGTAATTGATGCAGTCTTTATTTGAAGCTTCAAGTCACCTGCAAAAAAGTGATTTCATCTATTATGATAGCTACAGTAGACAAGAGTTTATATCTGAACTACATATAAACTTTTATCCCAGTGCTTCTGTAATTATCTGAATGTTTGTGACGGGTAACGATACGACTGCTTGTGAAGCCGTTTCATCCCTTTAGGCCTACATTAACAGCTCTCTTGGGCTCAGCCGCAGCGTGAACGCAGATTTTAATGTTACAGTGTGTTACAATGCATTACAATGTGACCGTTTCATAGTCGATGTTTTAAATCCGCATTTGAAGTGCACAGAATCGCGTGTCAAAACAAACAGCAGAGATGTCAGTGATTCGCCTCTAGAGGCCGCTCTCGCTCTGTATAATAACAGCGGATCTTCTCAGACGCTCCAGCAATAGATGCAACCCGGAAAACTATCAGCTTTTTATGAATTTATGGATTTAACTATGGATTTTTGCAGATAGCCGATAGTTCTAGCAAAACAGTGTTCATTTAGTTATTCATAATTTTTGTCAATTACGATGATGAAATAAAAACTCTTTTTGAATGAGACAAACAATGACGAAAATTGTTCATATTGACATTTTCGTCAACGAATAAAAACGAGACGAAAATGTTACGGAGGGACAATTGCACAGAGATCCAGTCTGAATGAACTAGGGCTGTCAAAATGGCTGAAAAACTCAATTCGAATTTCGTACTAAAATATGATCAATATTTGAATTATATTCGAATTTAAAAGGCATAATTTCAGTTAGGGGGGAAAAAAGCTTTTGGCTTCTCTCCTGAGGCCACAAGAGGGCGCACCGAGCAAAATATTACTAATGCACGTTTCTTCAAAGTGCATAATGTTTAAAATAATGTTAATAAACCATATATAATTAAGTTGCTTAACAATTAGAAACAAAACAGCATCATGTATGTACGTATAGTTTAATACAAAGAACCGAAAACCAATCACAAAGAGTACTTTCTTCATTTAAAAATATGATGCAGTGGATGCAGAAAAACCACCATAAAGTCTCCAGACATGTTTTTTAAAAGTTGAACTTGCATTAATTTTGCATAGCTTTCTAAACATGCCGCTCTTCAGTGTAACGCTGATAGATGTCCCTCTAGAAAATGTGATAAATATGTGTTCTGTGTGAATGGCTTGGTTTCAGTTTTGACGTAACGTCTTCTCCACATTGATGTTCTCTTTTTTCCGCAGTATTTTGAATGAATAGCGGAGCAGCGCTGCATCTAGTGGCTTCAACTGGATAGACTAACAAAAGCATTCAAATACAGCGACACCTACATCGTAATCGCATCTCGTGGATCAATTTAATTTTAATATAAAGGCATGTTATGTGTGTTTATATTGCATGTTCAAACCTTAATATCATTCATATTACTATGTAAATAGATGTTTTCTCTGGGAACATATAATGAGTTTGGACATTTTAGAGAAAAGTTTAATAAATGCATTACACTGTAACTAAACCCATTAGATTTTAATCATCTGAATTTGTTTTAGTCTTAGTCTAGTTTTAGTCGACTAAAAATCATAAGACTTTAGTCGACTAAATCGACTAAAACTAGACTAAGACTAAAACAAATTCAGATAACTAAAATATGACTAATGGCATTTTAGTCCAAAGACTAAGACTAAAACTAAATCAAAACCATCGGTCCAAATTAAGACTGCAGCAAAAGCGATACATCGGTGGACCTCTAGCCGTGACGGTCACATGACTCCACGTAAACACTAGCAAAGCGGATCACCTCTGGTTTGTCATGCTGATCTGGTTTCTGCTCCAGGTTTGATCTCGGCTCGCTCATGTGACGCTCAGGCTCATGTTTAAGCTCTCTGATTGGCTCGTCCACAGGGTCGCCGGGGGAGCGTTCCAGCAGCTAATGCGACACACAGGAAGGAGCGTGAGTGTGTGTGTGTGAGAAAGAGTGAGTGTGTGTGTGTGAGAGAGCGAGAGTGTGTGTGTGTGTCTGAGAGTGTGTGTGTGCGCGCGTGTGTGTGTGTGTGTGTGTGAGAGAGAGAGAGAGAGAGAGTGTGTGTGTGTGTGTGTGTGTGTGAGCATGTGTGTGTGAGTGTGTGTGTGTGTGAGAGAGAGAGAGAGAGAGAGTGTGTGTGTGTGTGTGTGTGTGTGAGCATGTGTGTGTGAGTGTGTGTGTGTGTGAGAGAGAGAGAGAGAGAGAGTGTGTGTGTGTGTGTGTGTGTGTGAGCATGTGTGTGTGAGTGTGTGTGTGTGTGAGAGAGAGAGAGAGAGAGAGTGTGTGTGTGTGTGTGTGTGTGTGAGCATGTGTGTGTGAGTGTGTGTGTGTGTGAGAGAGAGAGAGAGAGAGAGTGTGTGTGTGTGTGTGTGTGTGTGAGCATGTGTGTGTGAGTGTGTGTGTGTGTGAGAGAGAGAGAGAGAGAGAGTGTGTGTGTGTGTGTGTGTGTGTGAGCATGTGTGTGTGAGTGTGTGTGTGTGTGAGAGAGAGAGAGAGAGAGAGTGTGTGTGTGTGTGTGTGTGTGTGAGCATGTGTGTGTGAGTGTGTGTGTGTGTGAGAGAGAGAGAGAGAGAGAGTGTGTGTGTGTGTGTGTGTGTGTGAGCATGTGTGTGTGAGTGTGTGTGTGTGTGAGAGAGAGAGAGAGAGAGAGTGTGTGTGTGTGTGTGTGTGTGTGAGCATGTGTGTGTGAGTGTGTGTGTGTGTGAGAGAGAGAGAGAGAGAGAGTGTGTGTGTGTGTGTGTGTGTGTGAGCATGTGTGTGTGAGTGTGTGTGTGTGTGAGAGAGAGAGAGAGAGAGAGTGTGTGTGTGTGTGTGTGTGTGTGAGCATGTGTGTGTGAGTGTGTGTGTGTGTGAGAGAGAGAGAGAGAGAGAGTGTGTGTGTGTGTGTGTGTGTGTGAGCATGTGTGTGTGAGTGTGTGTGTGTGTGAGAGAGAGAGAGAGAGAGAGTGTGTGTGTGTGTGTGTGTGTGTGAGCATGTGTGTGTGAGTGTGTGTGTGTGTGAGAGAGAGAGAGAGAGAGAGTGTGTGTGTGTGTGTGTGTGTGTGAGCATGTGTGTGTGAGTGTGTGTGTGTGTGAGAGAGAGAGAGAGAGAGAGTGTGTGTGTGTGTGTGTGTGTGTGAGCATGTGTGTGTGAGTGTGTGTGTGTGTGAGAGAGAGAGAGAGAGAGAGTGTGTGTGTGTGTGTGTGTGTGTGAGCATGTGTGTGTGAGTGTGTGTGTGTGTGAGAGAGAGAGAGAGAGAGAGTGTGTGTGTGTGTGTGTGTGTGTGAGCATGTGTGTGTGAGTGTGTGTGTGTGTGAGAGAGAGAGAGAGAGAGAGTGTGTGTGTGTGTGTGTGTGTGTGAGCATGTGTGTGTGAGTGTGTGTGTGTGTGAGAGAGAGAGAGAGAGAGAGTGTGTGTGTGTGTGTGTGTGTGTGAGCATGTGTGTGTGAGTGTGTGTGTGTGTGAGAGAGAGAGAGAGAGAGAGTGTGTGTGTGTGTGTGTGTGTGTGA